GGGACAACCTAATATTTCTGCACAATATTCGCTTAGCGAATTCAAGACGAAGCTTTCAGTTTGAAAGAGGCTGGGACTTGTAATGTGAAGCATGCACAACAAATAGGTGATTACACACATAGAATTTGATGGACAAAACAATTTTGGAATTTTTCGATACTTCCGTTTTCTTTGCTTATTGCTCACTCTAGAAAATTACAATTGACAATAGAAACCTCTCTTAGTTTATGACAGATCACCTGAATGATTCTTTCGTAGTATGCAAGTGCAATGCAGTTCTTGTTATTATAGCATGCAGCAAAGCATTCGTTCTTATCCAAGATTGTTTCGTAAATAAGGGCAACACTCATCTTCTCCACTTTGTCGAATACGCACGAAGAAACACTTCCTACCTGAGATGAAACGATTGTGATGGTCATGCTGTTTGATAATTGCCATTTTACCTGAATGACAAGAAGAAAGAGGGCTGAGCACTTCATCGCCACAGAAGCTGTGTAAAATGCCTACCGATGCCCCACCTTCCAGTTTAGGGCTCTGGATACCGGAAACAATGGCAGTTAAAATTGTTACTAGGAGACTTGATTGACACACCAAAATTTCGAGGAGATGTCTTAGAAGCCATATGTCACACCTTTATGGCGTAGTTTGATTTCGTGATTGATGCAAGGTTTTGGAAAAGATTTTTTGCGGTGTTTCTGCGGTGCTGGAAAAAGAAATATTTCACCTCAAACCATAAAAGGCGTGCACATGCACTCATGAGAATGATTTTGTTTGATACGCTTAACAAAAATTTTGAAAAATCTTTGCTAGATAGAGAATTTTCCACCCTTCTCCAATTCCTGTTCGCCTGAATTTTGAACGAAAAATGAAGTGAGTATAATGATAGAACAAATTGCGCACTAAACGCGAATTTCGCAAATTTCTCAACTGCTCTACTACTTTTTGCAAACAGATTCGTCTAAAACCCGAGACCTTCTTTTAGAGTGTATGTTTACATCAATTTCGAATCTTTTTTGAAGGAAAATATTGATAAAAGCTTCAATATGTGTTAGCAATGGTGATATAAGAACTCAGGCAAAAACATCGCTTTTGAATTCTATACTGTACACCCTACTAGAAATCTAGCTTTATATAAAAATGATTGCAGAGAACACAACATGTTCTGCAGTACGATACAGCAACATATAGGCCGCTTTATTTCAGTCTGACACAAAAATTGATTACAATGTTTTGGAATTTTTTTACTCGGTCTGTGGGCAGGAATAAGACAAAGTTAGTGATTTTTCTACTGAAAATTGAGAAAAAGTTTAGTATTTCTCTTATAAGCAGTCATCCCAGGATTTCGCCGTGGCACTGACCCGTAGATGCTAGAAAGGCGAACGAATGCTGCACCGCACCTCGTACATCAAAACTTTTCGCCCCTGATTCTCTCAAACCTCATGGTAACAGCTCGAGCAAATGAATCAAGATGAACGTAAAATACTTTTGCTTTAGTTCCCTTGTGAATCTGTAAACTAAAGAGGTTCATTTTTGCTATTCCATGTGCATCTCTTAATCGTGAAGTTCATTACAAGCGGTTACCACCGTCGAGTACCATATGAAGCTCCTTAGACATAATAGAAAGCTTTATCGATCACAGAATTTATAAGAAACTTCTGTGTCAAATTCTGTCAGGCTAGAAACGAATTGTTGCCGTGATTTCATATGTCTATTTCCCCAGATGGTGTATCATTGAAAAAGCTCAAGCACAGAATTGATGTGCGCGTGTCCCAAATTTCACTTTTCATTCAGGTAGATTTTCTAGGCCAAATACCTCGACATAGTCATAGTCCAAAAAACATATTTTTTTTAAAAACGCGAGTAATTCCATTGTGTGTATTCAAAAAGCAAATGAAGACTTTTCAGTTTTCACTCTAGTTTTTCTTTGAAAGCACCGAGCGAACAGAATATGCTTTCCTAGGCAAAAATATTAGGTTGTCCCATAAGTCTTTTCATACTTAGATTT